GTTAATATTTAATTAAGAATCTACATCACCTCACTCTGGAGATTCCCATTAGCGCGCGTCACCATCTTAGGTAGCAAGCGCAGTTTTAACACCGATGGTACCAGTAACGGTCTGATTGTATGTCCGTCTCATGTTCAAATTGAGCTATTAATAACTCAAGTCGGACGTGGTCCGTCTCACCTTTCCCCGGCGTATTGAGCATCGGCCAGATCTTCTTTCTAGTCACTCATTCTTCTTCTTCTTTACTTCCTCTTTTACATATGTGAGTGTCGACAGAGATATAAGGTTCTGTCTCTAGCTCTTCTGGCCGCCTCTACCATAGATAGGCACATCGTGCTGTTGTAGAGTTTCTCTGATGTTATCCTTCCATCATGTTCTTGGTCTACCTCGTGCTCTACGTCCTTCTTCTCTTTCCATGCATGCTTTGTATGGTATGGTGTCACAAGGCATTCTTTTTAAGTGGGCAAACCATTTCACCTGCTGTCTTCGTTTGTAATTTAGAATTGGTTCTGTGCCGACTTTTTCTCTTATGATCTCATTCCTGATCTTATCTCTTAAGGTCACTCCTACAGCCCTTCTCAGACATCTCATCTCAATGGTTACTAATTTTCTTTTATGGTTTGTTGTGAGTGACCATGCCTGGCACTGGTAGCACAGAGAATAAATATGCTTTGAATGAGATGTCTTATGCTGTAAGAGGGGGGTGGGGGGGGGGGGGGGCTAGCTGTCCCAATACTTGATTTGCTTTACTGCATCTAATGTTAATTTCTTTATACAATTTCCCATCTTCGGTAAATGTAGTTCCCAGATATTTAAACTCTGATGCCTGTTTAATGCCTTTGCACTCTATTGCTATGTTTAGATCTGTCTTCTTTTTTTTTCCTATTGACATTACCTCTGTCTTTTCAGTGTTGATTCTCATATTATTTGTTTTACATTCTTCATTCATAGATGTTAGATGTTGTTGCAATTTCATGGCTGTATCTGCTATCAAGGTCTGGTCATCTGCAAAGAGTAATTCGTTGATCTTACTAACATTTTCATTCATGGGCTTGGCATTCTTGCATATACTGTCGATGTAGGTGATAAACAGCAGTGGTGATAAGACACACCCCTGTCTTACTCCAGATGTTACTGTGAATGGATGAGATGTTCACTCATTACAGCATCATTATTCTCAGACCGGCATGACCCATCTGTACCCATCTGTACCTCCACACTGTCAACCCCCCCCCCCCCTCCCACCGGAGGTAATTACAACAGCTAGCGTGTTAGGCAACAGCTGACCACCAAGTTGTGCAGAGTGCAGAACCAGCCAGTCTTTCTGTCTGTTCACTTCCCAATACACCGCCATCACCTGGAGAAAATATCAATTTTCCAATGTTACTCTAATAAAACTGGCATCTAGTGCCTTCAATAAACTGTCTAACATCTGGAAATCAAAGACACTTAGCAAACACACAAAACTCAAGATCTTCAATTCTTGTGTGATTCCAGTACTAACCTATGGATGCGAGAGCTGGAAATCAACGAAAACTCTAGACACAAAATTAGACAGTTTTGAAAATAAATGCCTTAGAAGAATACTAAATTTCAAATGGTCAGATTTCCGAACCAATACACAAATAAGGCAAGAATCCAGGCAAGAGTATGTGTCTAATTTTATGCGAAAACGGCGCTGGAACTATGTCGGCCACGCCCTTAGAATGGATAAATCAAGACTTCCTTACCAAGCCCTCATTAGGACACCACAGGGGAAAAGATCTCGTGGAAGAAAAAGGGAAACCCTACGTAGAACTATCATCAGGGAAGGCTCGCTCATGGGCCACTCAAACATCCAAGACCTACAACGGATTGCAACGGACCGCCGTGCATGGAGAGTCGCGACCTCTGCCCTATGTGCCGCACTCGACACAAGAGGAAAGACTAACTAACTAACTAACTCTAATAAAAACTGTGTGGTGAATATCGGCACATTTTTTTAAAGACTTCTGTATAACTGCCTGTTAAATAAAGACAACAAACAGACGTAGTAGTTATTTTCACAGAAGTTATATCCCGTTCAACCCTTGTGATTGCCAAGGAGATACAGAGTGTTCAAACAGAGAAAAATTTGTGTAAGGGGCACCGTAACAAAGAAAACATTGGGGGCGGGGGAGCTCAGGTCCTTTATACATTTTCTAGGAAGGCTTAAATAGATCTGTGCTTTGATATTTATAATAATAATAATGTGCCCAACTGGCGGAAACACACACACCCACACACACAGAATCACACATGTATTATATTTTAAATAATATGACATGTGTGAACTAATGTACTTAAAAAAAGAAGCTTCTGTACATGTTTAGAGGGGACCTTTTTAGTCCAATTATGAATTGTCTGATATAAGTAGTTCACGAGTACATAATTCCTTCAAACAATAAAACAGTTAAAAACACCTAATTGTGAATATTAATTTTTTTTTCTCATGGTACGCAGTATTTGGAAGATTTGAATTGTTTCTATTGCTACTGTAATAGACGTTTTCTGGTTAGTACCGGCATTTTTTTCCCCTTTAAAGAAAGGTACTGATCTTGTAATTATTTACGTGACTAAAATGTAATTTGTATTGTTTCAAATGTTCTTTGATTATTTATGTGATTATGGTGGAAATTGAACTATGAATAATTAGACAATCTTACTAATATGGTGGAAATATTGTTTTCTCGGCGTGCAGTCATTGATTATTCTTCTCGATTTGATCTCGAGCTGATAAAAAAAAAAAAAAAACGAATAAAATTAGGAAGAAAGTGTGAAAAAAAAGGTAAAGGACCCATTTTTCACGCCTTTAGGCGTATTGGACATATAGGGCTAGACCTATATTTTTATAGACCAATCGGCACTAGATGGGTAATATGGTCAGCATCACGCCAGTGAGGAAGAAACTGAAGGAAAATTTGAGTTCCACCTAAATAAAGGTACCAAAGAGGCCAAGGGCGTCTCTAACTTGGGCGGCCAATTTGGAGGGGGGGGGGGGGGCAGACTCACTGCCCTTTAACAAGCATGTCTTAGGATGTGACTAATCAGGAGCGGTTTTTTTTTCGAAATTGGAGTGCATCTGCCTGAGACACCGGTAAGCAAAAGTCTGCATACAAATAAGCCAGAACTGTAAAGCGGATGCCCACACAAAACTCAGGTCCTGAAGCATTGATTGTCTTGAAATGAGCGAACAACTATGACTTTCGCCGGAGTTTATAACCGGTGATCGCAAACAAACACACACATATACCTTAATTTTCAGATAGACTCCATAAATCTCTGTAAGTTTGTGACTCACAAACCTGCCATCGCGATCAGTCGCTGCCCAATGTCTTTTTCTTCTTAAAGTCCATACCGGTAGCTTTGGTAGTCATGTCTATCCACAGCCTTCTGATTTTCCATGCCATGATGTCATACTGTCCAATATCTTTTCTCTCGGTCTTCATCTGCCTCTCCACCCCTCCAACTTTCCTACTGTCACGATTTACTAGAGTTTTTTTCCTCCTCATCACACGACAAAATATGTAGATTGTCTCTTTCTGATATGGACAATAAGTTATCTTCATGAGTCAGTTTCTTTCAAGACATCTTCATTACTCTGTTTATCTGTCCAGAGTACATTCATCATCCGTTTATACAAAACCACATCTCCGCAGCTTCCAAATAATTGTTCACTAAACTACCAACTGTCCATGATTCACTTCCATACATAAAGATGGGATTAATATAGCTTTTAACAGTTCTCTTTCTCGCCTCAATTGACAAGGAAAGATTACACAAAATATTCTTCATTTTATAAAACGCTGTCTTTGCTTGAACTATTCTACATTTAACATCTTCAAGGTCTTACCAAAGTCTATTAGAAAACTACGGGAATAGTCATTACCCTGAAACTAACTATGCATTTCATTCGAGACACTTGCATGTAGGCTGGGGTTTAAAAGATTGGAGCTTTTGAATTGAAATGTTATAGAAAGATTCTTAGAATACCACGGATCAGGAAGAGGAAAAACATCGACTTTCTGAACGAGTTGAACATCAAGGAGAACTGGCTAATAAACAGCATCCTGTCCAAAAGTTAAAGTATTTTGGCCACTTCAAGCGTCATGGTGGCTTGGAAAAGACGGTGATGGAAGGTGCAGTTTGTGGAAGGCGAGGCAGGGGTCGACTACCGCGAAGATGGATACAAGATACTGAAGATGAATTGGCATTGAAAGCACATGGGGCTGGAGAGCTGGCTGAAGAAAGGGATGATTTCAGGTTGCCGCGAAGAAAGTAACGTTCTGTAAAGGACTTGCTGATTGATGATGATGCGGACAGCAGAGTATACCAGGTTGGTAATGCTTGTAGCCGTTAACGGCGACCTAAATATAACTTCTTAGGAGAATGAGTAGGGTTTCTGGGATACAACCAGTTTGATTGGCATGCATGAAATCACTTTTTGAGTAACAAGAAAAAGAAATATTGCGGCTTATTTAATTATTCAAATAAAGATTCGGGAAGTAGCCAGGACAAAGGAGGGGAGAAAAAAAAGAGGGGATGGGGGAGGGGGGGGGGGATAAAGAGGCAGTGAGAGTATTGTGTGTGTGTGTGTGTGCGTGAATATGAGTGGTGTAAAAAGTATGTATGCGCGCGAGCGTGGGAATGTGTAGTGGCAGTAATGTGTTTGTATGTGTGTGCGCGCACTTATGTTTGAGTGTGTGCTAGTGCATATGCGCCCGTGTATGTTTGGTGTATGCGAATGTGTATGTCATGTGAGTGTGTGCGCACGTATGAGTGTTTACATATGTGGTGTGAGTATGTTTGCTTGTTTTAGTATCCAGATGTATATAAATCAGTCCTGAATATTTTTAACTACGGGGTCAGGGGACACGTTTAACGAGGGGGAAGTTACTCTTGTCGATAGCTCTGTCAACATTCGTAGAATGCCTGTAGAATGGACAAGTCCATGATTTCATCACTCTAGTCGTGTTCTTAAAATGACTGTAAGAAATATATTGTTATTAATATTTACCAGTATAATTTGTCGTTGCTAACGTTTTTATTGTAATATTTTTTATGGCATAGACAGAATGCATTTAAAATATTAAAACATACGTGCAGCTTTAATGTAATCATTAATGTCAAGTTAGTTAAAAAGAAAAGGGCTCTCCTTTGAATCCTACTTTGAATCAAATCAACCCCCCCCCCCAAAATGGCGGCTCTAATATGATGGCGTTCGAAAGAGAGCTAAATTGGCCAATTTATTGCCATAAAATATCCAAAAATATCCGAATGCGGGTCAGTTTTATTAAAAATATATGTGCCGGCTCAGGATAACGAAACAAATGCTCTGGCAGGGTCTTGGCGATACGTTACTAATACTTGCCGACCTGCTTCTGCGAGTGTGCCTCACCACCGAGCGTATCCCTGGATGGAGACTAAACTAGATGGCTGGGACTCATGAGCGGCAGCTACCGCATCTCCTGCAACTTTCTCCAATTACTGTACTCTTGAGTCCCAGACACCTAGTTTAGCCCCCCATCCGCGCCACTACGCGCGGCGCGGGGGATACGCTCGGCGATGAGTTTAATCGTGTTTGGCACATGCCGACAAGTCTGACATCTACCACTGCTAAATCCTCCAATCGGAAGAACACAGTATTGCTAATCGGCTTTCATCGTCTGTAATGTCTCGAAATTGGTCAACGGTCGCTAATATCATTTGCTAGTATTGTCTGCAAAAACGCTAAAAATTGTTGTCAATGGTCGGTATTTATCGTCTGCTACTACCGTGTGCAAATGTTGATATTGATTGTCAAGTAATCCTAGTTTTGCCGCGATTTGTTTCTTGGCAGAAAGTCCGTATTTTAGATATACGGGAACACCGTCGTTCTCATATTTTTGGATATTTTATGGCCAGAATGTGGCATGCTGCAATTTTGGGGGTTGATTCAAAGGAGAGCCAAGAAGAGACAGCTATCCTCCGAATAACGATAACGGTCCTAAATTATTGAGGCGGAAAATATACCGTAACAGGACCTCAGTCACGTGTCAGTTGCGCACTTCCGGGGACTATAATGCCACCGCCGAATTGCGAACTTCCGGCAACTTCCGCCACCGCCGAGAGTATCCCCAACGCCGCGTGGATTGGGGCTAAACTAAATGGCTAGGGCTCACGAGCAAATAATATGAAGGAAGCTGCAGGAGATGCAGTAGCTGCTGCTCATGAGTCCCAGCCATCTAGTTTAGCCCCAATCTACGTCGCGTGGGGGATACTCTAGGTGATGGCAGAAGCGCGCAATTTAAGACGACGGAAGTGCGCAATTAACACAAAACTGAGGCCTTGTTGGGGTAAATTTTCCGCCTCGATAATTTAGGACTGTTATTCGGAGGATAGCCGAAAAGACATCAAAAGAAAGACATCACATCATTCGGGGCATTCCCATGCATGCTCTGTCCACATCTTCAGCAGCCAGCGCAGAGTTCAAATACTGATGGTACCGGTCAAAATCTGGTTATATGTCCGTCTTGCCAACTTAATCATTAAGAAGCAGACTTGACTCATTCAATGAATCTGGAAGATGGAGTCAAGGAAGATTCATGAAACTAACAAAATAATTTTTACAAGTGAATATAATAAAATGAAGGAGCCTGTTTCTTGCTTTCAGGCATTAATGCTAATTTTAGTAAAGTATTTTCACCATTTAAAAAAAAACTATCGCTTCTTCATCCATCACACTTAAGGTCGATTCTCACTCTCCATTGACCAGTTGCATTCTAATAATACAACACAAGGGAGTCGCTGTGGCCGAGCAGCTAGACGCTCGCCGCGGATTGATGGCTCCCTGGTGGAGCCGGACTTTTTTCAAAATTGGCCTTGGCTCCCAGGTCGACCCAGCCTTGAGTGGATACCGGTTGCAACCCCGGGAAGTGAAGGCGGCCGGCGGGACATCACCCATCATGTGCCGATTGGTCTATAAAAATATAGGTCTAGCCCTATACGCCTAATGGCGTGGAAAAGGGTCCTTTGCTTTTTACTAATACAATACAAATCTTTGAAACAAAAATATTATATTAATTAAATTACATTTACAAAAATGGAATTAAGTTAAGCACTCTGTCATCAACATTTGTCTTAGACTTTCTAAGAATATGCCACAATTTTCTTACTAGTTAAACTTTACTAATTATTCTAACTTTAAATCAGTTTATCAAACTATGTTGGAGTTAATCAATCAGTCAGGTGCTCTCGCCACTGTGAAGTTTTGCTGCCATTGATCTCCAACATGCTCTGTCTATTGTCTTGGTGGTACATGCTCTCAGACTGCTGTCCATTCCTCTCTTTATGTTTTCCTCCCACTTGTATCATCATCTACCTTTTCTCTCTTGCCCTAGAGATTTTCCTCTAGTTGAGGTTAATAATTTTGACAGTTAATACACATTTTTACATATTCATTAACTCTATGTTCTTTTCTTCCATTATTTAAATTTTTTTATTTTTTTTAAGCAGAAGATTAATGGCTTGGTCATCTAATAAGAATGTAACCAGAACATCTTCCAGTGCAGGCACTTCACATATAAAGATATGATGTGAAATTAGGAGGTCACAGTAATAAGAATGTAACCAGAACATCTTCCAGTGCAGGCACTTCACATATAAAGATATGATGTGAAATTAGGAGGTCACAGTAGTAAGAATGTAACCAGAACATCTTCCAGTGCAGGCACTTCACATATAAAGATATGATGTGAAATTAGGAGGTCACAGTAGTAAGAATGTAACCAGAACATCTTCCAGTGCAGGCACTTCACATATAAAGATATGATGTGAAATTAGGAGGTCACAGTAATAAGAATGTAACCAGAACATCTACCAGTGCAGGCACTTCACATATAAAGATATGATGTGAAATTAGGAGGTCACAGTAATAAGAATGTAACCAGAACATCTTCCAGTGCAGGCGCTTCACATATAAAGATATTATGTGAAATTAGGAGGTCACAGTAATAAGAATGTAACCAGAACATCTTCCAGTGCAGGCACTTCACATATAAAGATATGATGTGAAATTAGGAGGTCACAGTAATAAGAATGTAACCAGAACATCTACCAGTGCAGGCGCTTCACATATAAAGATATGATGTGAAATTAGGAGGTCACAGTAGTAAGAATGTAACCAGAACATCTACCAGTGCAGGCACTTCACATATAAAGATATGATGTGAAATTAGGAGGTCACAGTAATAAGAATGTAACCAGAACATCTTCCAGTGCAGGCGCTTCACATATAAAGATATGATGTGAAATTAGGAGGTCACAGTAGTAAGAATGTAACCAGAACATCTTCCAGTGCAGGCGCTTCACATATAAAGATATGATGTGAAATTAGGAGGTCACCCTAGGAAATATGGATTGATGTCATTGAAAGCTTGTACATCCACACAGAATGACAGTAACCATTGCTGCCCGTCAAACAGTGAGTAGCAAACTGTTTCCCCCCCCCCCCCCCCCCCCCCCCCCCCAGCCACCCACATCGCTTATTGGCAGAAGTGGAAATTGATGATGATCAAGACTGTTTTTTGTTTGTTTTGACATTTACATTAAAATACGCGATTTAAAATGTTGGGTTTTCATTTTGCAGGTTCCAAAATTGTTTCAGTGGCTGGCTGGTGTGTGCTCATTTATGACAGTGTGGTTGGCTTATGTTGTTGGTTATTTCAGTGTGAATCTTCGCAAGGAATATCATGAAATTATTGTGGTTGTAAGTAATTATTCCTGTTATAGTTATAATGATGAAACAGTTAATGTGCATTCACTATTTTTCTGCACCGAGAACACATGTTATTTCATTGGTTAACTTTTGTATATCACAAACATCATGTTGTGTTATTTTCATGTGAGGTCAGAGGATCTCTCTTCTTCTCTTTTTCTTTTGTCGCCTCACTGTTACTGGCCCAGTGTTGTGGTTTTCTGTATTTGTCTTGGGATTTTTGGGTGGCTTGAGTGATGGATTGCTTTAACGTTGCTGGTCCCATGTCCGCCCTATAATCATTCAATGTTTTTTGAGTGGTAGCAGTCCAATACACTACTGCCGGCTTGCTAGGCCTGTCGTGTGGCAGGGCAGGACAAAATCCTACCTGGGTGGTGCCCGTCTCCTTCCAGGCAAGCATTGCCCCCGTTAGCCTGAAACCTTGCGGCTTCAGTTTTCGGGCATACACCACGAGGAGATAGGGTCAGAGGATACTTAGCAAAAATCTGGCTACCTCATTAGCGTCATGTGTTTTTTTAAAAGTAATGTGGAGTAGTTTGATTTTGCAAACATTTTTAATAGAAAAATAAATTTGTTTGCATGAAACGTCATGATACTTGTAGAGTAAACTCTAAAATGAGGCTAAATGTTTTCACGCCATATGGCTCTGATTCAGAGCCTCATAAACTGAGGGCCATAACATTTTCTGGTATTTTATTTTTAAAGCTCATGCTGTGTCTGTCAACAACGTTCTGTCTCTTGTACTTTCAGTCACTTCTGACATAGATGGTCTTCCATGCCATCATGTTGGCAGCATATGGAAATCCAACACCTTCTCTCTTGGTCTCCCTCTGCCTCGTTTCCCCTCCAAAATTTCCACCATCATGATGTACTGTAGTTTTTGTCTTCTTCTCATGACATGACCAAAGAATATAGGTCGCTCGTTCTGAGGTGGCCAATCAGTACTTGCTAAGAACAGAAAAAAAAAATTGAATGACATAATCACAAATTGGAGCTTAGGGAGAGAATGAAATAAACAGCATTGAAGAACAAAGAGATTGAAACAAATTGCAGTGAATAACTAAGAGAATGAAACTAGTTGCAGTAAAGAACTAAGAAAATGAAACGAACTTCAGTGAAAAACTAAGAGAATAAAACAAATTGCAGTGAAGAAGTAAGAGAATTAAACAAGTTGCAGTGAAGAACTAGGAGAACGAAACAAATTGCAGTGAAGAACTAAGAGAATGAAACAAATTGCAGCGAAGAACTAATAGAATGAAACAAATTGCAGTGAATTAAGAGATAAGGAATACACAGGGGTCTTCCAAGGTTTTGACCTTCTGAGAAGACTAGACACCTGTTCGCTATCTCATGTGCAAAGAGGGTTCTGTCACAATTTTCTTTAAAAAATCCCAAAGTTCTCTCTGTTAATTAGACCACATGTACATGAGCCAAAAGCAGACAAGACTTTATAACCTCCAGGTCACAACCCTCTGCTTCACCCTTCCCTTTTTCTCTCTAATTTTATAGGAACAAAGGCCAGTATGTATTGCTGAAATTTCTGAGCATTTATGACATGTGGCCAGTATCTACTATTGCTTATGACATTTACCTTCTTCTCCTCTTCCTCCTCCTCCCATTATTGCAGGGTGAAAAAAAAGGGAGGGGGTAAAAATCTCCTGTGAACTCCCAAAAAAATACACGGTGTAAGTAAATCTTTTCTTAGAAGATGTTTTTGATGCTGTCACTCCAGTTTTTGCATGATCTTCCATTTGCTTAGATATGTAACATGGATGCAAACACAAAATTTAGGTCCTGGAACAAAGTCAAAGTTCAAAAGGGGACAAACAACCGCCGCACTTTACAGCCGGTGAATACAAACGAACATAGGAGGCCACAAAAGAGAGGCTTTTAAACAAACAAACAAAATAGAAAACCAATGTGATTTTTTTTTAATTATAAAATGACCAAGAACTGTGAATGAAATGTTTCTATTGTCTGTTTAAAAAAAAAAAATATTACTTTGTTTCAGTTACCCCTTTATCTACTGATATCATTTGCTGTAAGTATGATGTTATTTTAAATAGTAATATTTAAAAGAAAAGTAAGCATCACAATAACTGAATTGTGTGTACTTTGCCAGCTGTGTATTTCATCAGTTCATTAATGGGTGAGAATGTTGCAAATCTGACCTTAGAGTAGCAGTTGTAATGGTTAGCTTGTATACTAACATAGATCCCTGTCTTGGTTCAGGACCTCTGGGGGGGGGGGGGGGGGACAGACCCACTGCTCCCTAACTAGTATGTTGTAAGCTGTGTCTAATATTGTCAGTAAAAAAAGTAAAGGAAACTTTTTAACGCCTTTAGGCATATATGTGGTCAGCATCACGCCGGCTGCCTTTACTTCCCGGGACTGCACCCGGTACCCACTCAAGGCTGGGTTGATGTGGGAGCCAAGGTTATTTTTGAAAAAAGTCCAGCTTCACCTGGGAGCCAACCCACGATCTTCTGACCCACGGCGAGCGTCTAGCTGCTCCGCCACGGCGACTCCCATCTAATATTGTAATCATGCTGTAAACCACAACACCGCTTGCAAAGCATTTGTATACAGTAACCTGGTTCAATCCACAGCTGTGGCAAGATTCTTCTGTTTTGATTAATATTAGCCTGGGGTTTATCCCGCTTTAAAAAATAGATACTGCATACTCAGAATGAATGTGCTTTGTGCGACACTATTGGCAGATGACTAGCCGTTCTGCTGAGAGAGACAGAGCTGTTTGGGATGAAACCCAGTGTAATGAAGTTGATCCTCTCGACTTTAACCTCAACATAAATGCTTAGTTATCATTAGTATTTGTTAAAGGTTGTCTGTGATGGTTATTCCTATTGCACATTTTCTTGTAAAGCTGCCTGTTTGATCTCACAGTTGCCCCATGTGGGTTCCAGGACCCCATTGTGGGGAAAAACAAGAATAGACCCGTAGGAGTCGACTCACTGGGGGACTTCCGTCACAGTCGGAGTGCATCTGCCCTATCGGCAAGTAATAACCAACTGCACACAAATAAGCCAGTAAAACAGATGTACACGCAGAACTCAGGCTGTGTCACAAAGTCTAAATGGACGAACATCCAGGACTTCCCACAGGAAATTAAAGCTGGTGAACAAAGAAGAAGAAGGTCTCACAGTCAGTGTATCCAAGTTGTCACCATTGTATCTTGACAGTCGTGTTGACCATTGTATCTTGACAGTTGTATTGTAGGTGTGCTATATGCAAATTGGTACATGTGGACATTTACGCACTTTTTTGACGTCGCATAATTTAATTGTGTGTCAAATGTGTTTCAGTGCTATTCCTTAGCTGTTATTGGGTACAGAGTTGCAACATTCAATAACTGTGAGGAAGCATCCATTGAATTAAAACAGGTAATTACAATTTATTCAGGGTGGAGACAAGTATATTCTGGCATTGCTCTACATACAGGGGTATGATCTACGGTCCCACATTGTAAAATAAAGCCAGAATAGTAGTCACGCATTAATTTGAGAACAGGGGATTCTGCTAACAATCCTGTCTCCAATGATCAGATACCATACCTCCTGCACTTTGAACTGCTCACTATACAATGATCAGATATAGTACTTCCTGCATGATAAACTGTCCATTGTTCAACAATAAGATACCATACCTCCTGAATTGTTTTAAACAATCCACAATCTAATGATCAGATACCATACTGGACTATTCAAAATGCAGATGTATGGTATTTGATCATTGTATACTAGGTTGTTCAAAATGCATGTGTAAGGTATTTGATAATGGTACAGTGGGCTGTTCAAAATGCATATGTTACAATGGGCTGTTTAAAATGCATGTGAATGGTATTTGATCATTGTACAGTGGGCTGTTCAAAATGCTTAAGTTACAGTGGGCTGTTCAAAATACATATGTTACAGTGGGCTGTTCAAAATGCATGTGAATGGTATTTGATGATTGTACAGTGGGCTGTTTCAAATGCTTATGTTACAGTGGGCTGTTCAAAATGCAGATGTACGGTATCTGATCATTGTACAGTGGGCTGTTCAAAATGCTGATGTATGGTATCTGATCATTGTACAGTGGTCTGTTCAAAATGCTGATGTATGGTATCTGGTCATTGTACAGTGGGCTGTTCAAAATGCTGATGTATGGTATCTGGTCATTGTACAGTGGGCTGTTCAAAATGCTGATGTGTGGTATCTGGTCATTGTACAGTGGGCTGTTCAAAATGCAGATGTATGGTATCTGATCATTGTACAGTGGGCTCTTCAAAATGCAGATGTGTGGTATCTGGTCATTATACAGTGAGCTGTTCAAAATGCAGATGTGTGGTATTTGGTCATTGTACAATAGGCTGATAAAACTGCAGATGTATGGTATCTGATTATTGTATACTGAGTTGTTCAAATTGCAGATGTGTGGTATCTAATCACTGTACACTGGTCTGTTTGTAGTGCAGGAGGTATGACATCTGATCTCTGTGTAGTGGAGTTTAGTGGATAGTTCAAAGTGCAGGAGGTTTGGTATCTATCCATGTGACTGTTACTTGAAATTAATCAATGTTAGGTGTAAACAAGTCCAGACAGCACCAGTATTGGAAATTGTTTAAACACATTTAGGGTAGAGTGGTTTGGTGGAAGAAGTAGTGAACATGAGTATTTATCAAATCAAGTCATGTATGGCTGGCGGGAAGGTTCAAGTCCCTACTGAGATGGATTTTTTTTTAAAATCGACCTTGGCTCCCAGGTCGAACCAGCATAAATTGGGTACCATGTAAAATCCTGAGAAGTAAAGGCGGTCAGGATGATGACGATCACATCATCCACTGAATGCTGATTAGTCAATAAAAATACAGATCTAGCACTGTATGCCCAGTGTGCCAAAGGCAAGAAGCGGATCCTTTAGTTACTTTAAAAAAAATATCATGTATGAAGTTACCAGCAAGCACATCATCTTCTTCTTTGCGTTCACCAGCTGTACACTGGCGGAAGGTTCTGGTTGTTGGACCACTTCTGAACTGCAGTCCTGCTCCAGAACCTCAGTGTTGTGTGTGCATCAGTTTTACAGATTTGATTCACTTGAATGCAGACTGTTGGTTCCTTGCCTCTCAGGCAGATGCACTCCGACTTCAAAGGAAGCTTCCCAATTTTTCTACTCTTACGACATGTTTTTGGGTAGGCAGTAGGTCTGTTCTTGTTATTTCCACATTTGGGACCCGGAACCCACACAAGAAAAGCACATTATGAATTGTTTGGTACCAAAGGAGTTCAATTCATTACCATCATGAGTTTTAATTGTGCACTCAAGTACCACCCCCCCCCCCCTCCCTTTTTTTGTTGTTGTAAATTTTATATTGTATTATAAACAGCATTAAAAGTCTATGGTTAAGCACCAGCAAGCAAATTGAAATTAAAATTTTGAGAGCTTACATCTTCCCTGTAGCAACATACAGATGTGAGAAAGAAAATATGTGCTTTTCAGCTGAAATGCTATAGAAAGATTCTCACAAAATCATAGACAAAGAAGAGGAGAAATACTGACATTCCAAAATATCTGAACATCAAGGAAGATTGGCTAATAAACAGCTTCCTGTCTCAGAAGCTGAAATATTTTGGTCAAACCAAGCGCCATGCGTATTGGAAAAAGTAATAGCAGAAGGCATGGTACTAGGAAGGAGGGGCAGGGGCCGACCAACATGAAGATGGGCACAGGATATAAGTGACTTCTGGAATATGAAAGTACACAAGGTAGAAGAGCTGGCGAGAAACCAAGTTTCTTTCGGGCAGACCGTGATGAGAGCGACATTCTGCAAAGAACCCTACATGATGATGATTATAAATCTACTGATACACAAGAAATGTTATTTTTCACATTGTTGTGGCATTATGAAGCTTGGTTACAATTGAGATTGTATTTGTTTCCTCCACAGGAAATTGAAGCAGCAAGAAAAGACTTAGAAAAGAAAAATTATAAATTCATCTCAGACTGGAAGTAGCCAAGTTCCCGGCCCCATTGTATTTAATATGTCTGTTTATGTTAAAATGTAGTATGCATTATATCTATACTAACTGTTGTATTAAAAAAAAAGAAATAAGGTTAAAGTCTAGAGGATCTACTTCATTGCACCGGGTTTTATCAACTATGGCTTGGTCCCTCTTACTGCAGAGCGGCCAGCTGCCTGCCAAGAGCATCGCACAAAGCACGAACTCTGTTGCATATTAAATCACAAAGAAGATGCTGACAGGCAGGTTAATTGTAATAATTGCTGAACCCCCGTGTTGGTTCCGGGGCCCCATTGTGAGGAAAACAAGAATAGACCCACTGCCTCCCCAAAAGCATGTCGTAAGAGTCGACTAATTGGGGAGCTTCCTTTGAAGTCGGAGTACATCTGCCGGAGAGGCAAGGAACCAACAGTCTGTATTCAAAAGAATAAGATCTGTAAAACTGATGCACATGCAACACTCAGGTTTTGTAACAGGACTGCAGTTCAGTGATGGACGAGCAACCAGAACTTTCCGCCAGAGTATACAGCTGGTGAACGCGAAGAAGAAGAAGATAATTGCTGAAGATAATACATTTCTTGCTGCCTTCTCAATGTGAAACAATAAAGTTAGGTATCTGTATGTTAAGTATTTATAAAACAACTGCGCAGGTTTTTTCGAAAATAAAGAACCTTGTTCACAGCAATGGACATATAATACTATACCCATATTTTTATAGACCAACAAGTAGTGAATTTGCCAGCTCCCTTCAATTCACCGGACATTTCCTAGTACCCATTCTAGATTGGGTAATATAGAATCAAATTTAAGACCTCAAATTTATGTGGCAGTATTTTTATTTTTCTGTTAAGAACGGCCTGTCACCCAAAAATAACATTTGATTATGAAGAAATTAAAAGTGTCACAGATGTTTAATATCCAGGCTCCAGAATAAACAGCAGTAGATACATTTCAGCATAAAAGGAGAATGGCCACAGCAATTTAAAGATTAAATAGCTTTAAAAGTCTGTGGTTAAGCACCAGCAAAGAAATAAAAATCAAAATTTTGAGAGCGTGCATCTTCCCTGTAGCAACGTACGAATGCAAGTTGTGGACCATCTTGCAGTTGTTAGGGAAGAAAATTGGGTTTTTTACGCTGAAATATAATAGAAAGATTATCAGAATAACTTGCACCAAGAAGAAAATGAATACTGACATCCTAACAGATGAGAACATCAAGGAAGATTGTCTTGTAAACAGCATCTTGTCTCTGAAACTGAAATATTTTGGCAATTCAAGCACCACAGTGATTGGAAAGGATAGTAGCAGAAGGTATGGTACCAGGAAATAGAGGCAGGAGGGACCAGCACGAAGATGGACACAGGGTATTAGTGATACCTTGCGTAGAAAAGTGCACGAGGTGGAAGAGATGGTGAGACACTGAGTTTCTCCTTTTTCTTTGCGTTCACCGGCTGTAAACTTCCACGGAAAGTTCTGGTTGTTCGTCAACCTCTGGACTTGAGACTTGTTCCAGAACCTGAGTGTTGCGTGCATATCCATTTTACATATCTGACTTATTTGTATACAGACTGTTGGTTTCTTGTCTCTCAGGCAGATTCCCTCCGATTTCGAAGGAAACCCCCATTTAGTCGACTCTTACAACATGCTTGCTGGGGAGGCAGTGGTTGTATGCTTGTTTTCCCCACTATAAGGCCCCGGAACCGACATGGGATTCAACTGAGTTTCTGTCGAGCAAGCTGTGATGAGAGTATGTGCAAAGTATTTTATCACCCATTAAGTGCCGATTGGTATAACAAAATATGGGTTTAGCATCATATGTCTGATGTAGCACTAGCATGAAAAAGGTTCTTTAATACTTTTTATCTTTACATTTATCTGTTAAATGTGATAAGTTTCAAAACTAAAATATATCACTAATGACTTTTATTTTTAATCTATCTTTTTGATTTATTGAAACCTGTTTACTAAGCTGAAGTATTTGCTACACACACAATATTAATTCATTATCCTGTTGTGCCATTATACGTCACATAGGGCTCGCAGTCTATTCGTCCATTCCGTACTGTATTTTAAAGTCAAGTAGAGTGCATGTCTGGCCACTGACTTCCGCAGAGCAGCTTTTGTCCTTTCCTGCAAGTTTCTGTAGCAAATAATATTTTTATAGGGTGGGAGAGCTGACTCCATGCCCAGCCCTCCTCTTTTCTCATCCGGGCTTAGGACCGGCAATGGCAGAGATACATACACAGCATAGATGCTCAAAATGTTTGTGTTACAAATGTGTTTATGACTTCTTATAGTCTGTGCAGTGTGGCATCAATAATTATGAATCTTCAGCCTTCTCTCTGGTTTCAGTCATTTCTGATGTAGTTGTTCTTCCATACTATGATGCCAGACTATCTCATGTCATCTCTCTTGGTCTCCATCTGCATTTTTTTCCCTCCAGATTTATAGTGGTCAAGAAGGCTCCTTTGTTCCTTTTTATGATGTGCTCAAAGGATCAATGATCAGTTGCTGATGCTGGTAATTTTCTTTGCAAGCTAGTTTCTTTCAAGGCATTATCATTATGCTTTTTATCTGTCCATGGTGTTGTCATCATTGTACAAAACCTTGTCTGTAGCTTCCACGTAAAGACAGCCTTTATATATAAAGATGGGGACTTGGCTAATAACAAATCTCTGACACTAGCACGACTGTATGACATGGAGGTGAAGCATGTCTGTGCTGCCTTCAAGGCCGAGATAAATGGCATTATAACCAGTTCTCAGTGGGAATAATCAGTAGAGTTACCTTGGAGTTGCTGCTGTATTTGAGGACTGAGCGCACATGGGAATGCCCACTGTATAGTGATGTTGATTGACATAACATAACATAAAGATAGGGACTATATAGCTCTTTAGAATTCTCTTTATCACCTCATTTGACAAGTTTGATAGAATATTTGTTTCATCTTTTGAAATGTTGCTTTAAATACACACGTGTCAGTATTTGTACTGAGGGTTTAATTCATATATAATTCTAAAAATAAAGAATTGCCAACATGTCACAAATTTCTTTAATGTGGCTGATATGTTTAGTATTTTTTTTTCAGCAAAAAAAAAAAAAGTAATCCCATGGCAGATATTTGTGTAAGTGTACAGTGTTGGGTCTTCACACATTAGGGTTTATTTCTGTAATCCTGCATTATGGATTCTGGGGGAATACAAGAATACTCCCTAACAAGCCTGTCGCAGGAGTCAACTAATTTGGGGATCCCTTCAAAGTCAGAGTGCATCTGCCTGAGAGACAAGGAATCAACAGTCTGCATGCAGATAGGCCAGATCTGTAAAACAGACACACATGCAAAACTCTCATCTTTGAACAAAACCAGTGTCTAGAGATGGACGAACAACTAGAACTGTGCAGTGTTTACAGCCGGGAATGCAAACAAACAAACATACATTTCTGTAAATGTTAAAAAAAATATCAAGGTCCCTTCCCACAACATTGGGCGTGTAGTTCTAGACCCATGTGTTTATTGAGCAGTCAGCACCCAATTGCTGAACATCGGTGGGGCCTGTGGCATTACTTGTTACCAAATTTAGGCTGAGCGTCCTGGAAACCAAGGTCAGTTATTAAAAAAAATATATATGCCTCAAGGCAGATTCGTCTTCTTCATCTTCTTCTTAGCGTTCACCAGCTGTAAATTCCAGCGGAAAGTTGTGGTTGTTCATCCACTTCTGGACTTTGATCTTGTTCCAATGTGCAGAGTCTAAAGATAACTGCTTGTTATCTTTGGCCAAGCTGGTTGAATGTATCATCCTTCTTGTAACCTGGATGTTCAGAATCCTATTTGGTACTCTATGTACTTCTTATAAACCTCTTGGTCTCATCATGTTATGTCTACATCAGTCAGTGGTAGTCTTCCACCTTCCTTTGCCAATCTGTCAGCCTCTTCATTTCTAAGTATGTTGTAATGGTATGGTATTCCTTGTACTACTACTCTTTATCATTTCTGATTCAGTTTGTGGAGTGCAGCTCTTCTTCAGAATTCCGAGCCATTGAGGTTCATTGCTGCAGATATCACCCACCTCCATTCATCACTCTGGTTGGCCTTCTCTTTTCAGTGGGTGACACCAAGTGTTTGCAGGACTGTCTGGAGATTATCTTGCCATCGTCTTTTTGGTCTGCCTCATGGTCTACGACCATTCATCACCCTTGTGTTTACAGTTTTTAACTTCTATGTCATCTGACATTCTTTCAATATACCCCAACCACTTCAGTTTATTAGCTCTTATGATGCCAGTGATCAGTGGTGATTTAAACAGATTATGAATTTCATTGTTGCTTCTCTCCATTCCCAGCTGTTTTCATCTTTATTGGGTCCAAAGATTTGTAGTAAGACTCTGTTTTCGAAAACCTGTAATAAGGCTTTATCTCTTTTAGTTGTGCTCCAAGTTTCAGAGCCATATTAAACTACTACTGTTTATAATCTGCTTCTTTTATATAAGTGTTAAAAGTTAGTTTAGTGATCTTAGCTTGTCATGGTGGGACCAACCCTAACAATTTTACATTCAGTAGTTTGACGTTGCTACCTAACGGTTCGCTCTCAAAAGAAGACGAAATCAACGCAAGGCTGTTTGCCACCACTAGGAAACACATTTGCAACACCAAAGCCACAGACACGCGACTGTACATACCTTTTAATTGTGACATTTCACCCGTACCATTTTATTAAACTATGTGTGTGTGTGTGTATATATATATATATATATATATATATATATATATATATATATATATATATATATATATATATATATTTTGTCTGCCGAACCTCTGCCTTATTTTGACAACAAATATGGGCACAATGAAGCGCCCTTCAAAAAATGTTATATTCTGTAGTATGCACCTAACGGAAAGGACCTCTGTATCAAATTTGCCAAGAAAGAAACTGTAAATCGGTTTATTTGTATCTTCATTTTTTTTATACAGTTAAACATTTGTTAGGAAACAC